AAAAAAAAAAAAAAAAAAAAAATTAAAAAAATGGAGAAATGGCAAAACCCCTAAAGCCCTGCTCTACTTCCTCTCCCACAAAGAATTACCAGTAGAAAATCTGTCCCAAAATACATTAAACCAGTTGCATTGTCTAGCCACATCCATCCTGGTATAGTGATTTCCTAAGCTATTTAATTTCTTATTACCTATTGATCTAGGCATAGTGGGTATCTTTACACGTGCTCCAGGAGCCTGGGAGGGAGGGAAACAGAATCACAATGCAGCTTCAGGGCAAACCAGGGAATACCTGATATGATTTTTGCTGTTTAGCAAATTCGAAAGAAATGTCAAAAACAAAATCTCAACCTCTACATACCCTTCAAAGATTTGGCAGAAACCTTAGGTACAGTGAGCTGCAATTCTGGTTTGGATCTTATGGAAAGACTCAGCTGGCCAAGAAAGTTTCTTCTGATCTTGAGACAGCTCCATGGTAATACATATGGTAAAGATCAACAATATCTATCTGACCCCTTCCTCTTGATGAACAGTATGACACAAATATGCATCTCTGAGCCAATCCTGTTCACACTGTTCTATGTAGCAATGCTACAAAAGATAACTGTTATATTCAGGTAGGCACTAAGATCCACTTACTAGAGAGTTGCTTAAACTTCTAACTGTATGCTGGCTCCAAGGTTACCAGCTCGACACAGGATCTCTGACAACTGTACTGGTGGCCGCTCTGTGGAAGAGTTTCCACTCTTGGTAAACTATTTTGCAGCATCTGCACTGAGCTTTGGACTAACTTTCAGTTTAAGGAAGACTGAGATTATCCATCAGCCATCCCCTAGAAGAGAACATATGATCCCTTTTACCTCCAATGGAAGAACTAAACTTCCAGTTCATTCATGAGTTCATTTATTTTGGAAGTGTTTTGACTAATCATGCCAGCATTGATGGGTAGGTAGTCTCTTATATTAAAAAAGCTAGCATGGTCTCTGGCCCGCTTACAAAGCAAGTGTGAATCTAATGTGGAATCAAGCCTTCCTCCAAATTCAAGTTATACAAAGCTGTCATGCTTACCACCCCACACTGTGAAAGATGTGGACATTGTACAAAAGATGCATTGATCAATCAATTGGAGAAGTTCCAACAGAGGCTCTTTCACATCTTTATTCTTAATAAACTGGTGAAATAAACTGACCAAGAACAAAAGTCCTGCAGCATACTGGTTGGATGGTCACAGAGGAATTAACAACAACAACTAGGACAGACAATGCATGAATTCACAAGCAGCCACTTTATGGTGAACTGAAGTATAGGAAGCAGCAGCACAGTGGTCCAAGAAAGTACTTCATGGGCATACTAAAGGCTTGCTTAATTGATCATAAACTACCAGCCAACTCTTTTAACCTGTTAGTTGTAAATAGGCAGCAGTGTAGCATCAAGATAAGAGAAGGTATAAATCTTTCTGAACAACAGCAGAAGACCAGCTGACATGAGAAGCACTACAAATTTCATGACAAAAAACACACATATTATGCATAGGCATGGACAGTCATCTGTTTACTCACCATGTTTGACTCAGCCACCAACAGACACCACAGCATTATTATCCTCAGCTAAGAGGGACTCACTGTACAACTATGAATTCTAACAATATTTAAAAACATCTTTAACTCACCGAGCATAATATGTCACTGCTTCTTTGTAGTCCCCAGTGGCAAAAGCTTCATTACCTTTTTCTTTTTCACGATTCGCAATAAAGAATTTCTCTCTCTGAGACATACCTAGAATATAGCATTTATATATAACACCTAATATTTAAAGATGCAAAATAAGAAATTTAACACAAAAACTATCATTATAATTTGTACATCTCTTTTAAAATAGACACGGAATATGTTACTTTTTAAGATTCTTCTGTATGTAAAATGTGCTCTAAAATATTAGGATAAGCAGAAAGTCCAGCTCCAGAGATTTGGTCTGCTTTAGAAACATACTACTTGAAATACATGCAACACTTTACAGCATTTGGAATAGGTATTAAGGTTCTCTCCCCAACAAATATGCCACATACCCCTCTTTGTTTACATCAATGTTGAGATATATGGCCGCCCAGTATAGTGTAATGTCAATAATACGTTACAGCACAACTAACTCCAACAAGTGCATCACCCTAGACTTTGCTTTCAATTTTATATCTGTCTTTTAAAAGTGCAGACAGCGTTGATAACACTGTATTTCTAAACATCACCCTTCTTGATTTCACTTATCCATTTCATTTATAATTCATAATATTTCCTTCAAACAAAATTATATATGCCTTTCCTTCCTTCCCCATGGCATCCATTGCTTTCTTCGCTGCAAAAACCTATGGAAAAAGCAAACCAAACAGCAGCATGGTATATGTGCAAGTGGAGACATGGTTTTATCACATGGTTCCCTGTACCCAAGACCTATGCTGTGCTGATTAGCAAATTACAGGAGAAATAAGACAGTTTTACATGACATAGATGGCTGCTTCTTTTAGACATTTAATTTAATCTGTTACCATTGTGCTTGAAGTTGAAATTAATTTTATGGTTCATAACACTATACCCAGTATTACAATGGTGTCAAATCATATTTGTTAAACTGAAATTTATTATACTAAAGCACACCACCACAGTTTTACACAGGAAATGGGACGACTTTGTGTTTTTTCATTATACAGTATAATCTCTGTTATCCGGTACTTCACCATCTGGAATACCTTATTAAATGGAATTTCAGCACTGCACCACACCAGAAGCAGCAGGACGCACATGGCGCCGCACCACACCGCTTTGCCTCCCACTGCACCACTGAAAGCAGTGGGATGCACATGGCGCCGTGCCATGCCACTTTGCCTTCTGCTGCACAAGGGGCGGGAGAGAAGCTTGCACGCAGCAGCTGCCACCTCGCCCCCTCACCCCCCCATCCAGCCAGAAACCCTGTGCCTCAGGTAACTGGCATTTTTAGCTTACCGGCACCCCCCATTCCCCACTTGTGCCAGACAACAGGGATTTTATTGTACTACAATTTTCATTCTCATGACATTTATTATACTGACATTTCACTGCACAGGTTTCCCTCGATTTATGCGGATTTGATTTATGCAAATTCGCTCTTATGTGATGACACTTTTTATACCTGAAATTTATTATACGTGAGGGTAAATCCACTGTTATGCGATTGGCATAGGCGCCCTCTCCCCTCCCCCAAGCAGGTAAATCTGTGAGTTTGTGAGGTGAAGGGAAAGGGCTGTAAGCTGAGGGGAGGGGTAAGGGCAGGGGAAAAGGCCGTGGGGCTGGGACTCCACTAACTGCAGCCCCTGCTGCAGCTGCTCTGGGCACAGGGTAGTCCAGTGGCTACAAGCAGATGGTGTCTGCCACTCCCAGGGCTGCAGCAGGGGCAGGCAGCTGCCTGCAGCAAGACAAGAGCAGACTGGGGCCAGCGGTGGCACCAGGTTCTTCCCAGCACTCGGGGTGGGCTGCAGCGATAGGAGGGGGGCTGCAGCCACCCCAAAATTCACTGTAGCCCCCCACAAACTGCTCTCCCATCACTGTTGCCGAGCACTGGGAAGAACCTGGTGCCACCACTAGCCGCAGCCTGCTCTCGTCCTGCTGAAGACTGCTGCAGCCTTGGGAGCAGCAGACACTACCTGCTCGAAGCCAATGGGCTGCACCATGCCAGGAGGTTTGGGGCACGGTGCAGCCCAGTGGCTGCAGGCAGCTGGCATCAGCTGCTCGCCAGGCTGCTGCGGTGAGAGGGGAGAAGCAGATCAGTGGGGCTAGCGGGGAGAAGTGGGCTGAGTGGGGCTACCACCCACCCCAAGTACTGCAAAGAGCCCTGTGATGCCCATACCGCCCAGGAGCAGCAGACACCACCTGTCTGCAGCAACTGGGCTACGTCACGCCCCTCTCCCTGCCCCTTCCCTAGTCCCAGCCTTACTCCTTACCTCACCACTGTGAGAATGCATCCCTACCTGTTTCATTGTAAACTGTGTTCACTTTATGTTAATTCAATTTATGTGCCATTCCCTGGGAAAGCATCTATTACATAAATCAAGGGAAACCTATAGTAAGCTTTCTCTGTGTACATGAATGGCATCTATATACATAAGGGCTTAGTCTGTCTGTCTGTTTGTAACGTTCTTGGGAGGGGGTGGGGGGGTCCCGGAGAGGCATGGGTCCAGCCAATGCTGCATGCGGAGTGAATTGCCCATCAAGAATGACAGCAGGGTCGGAGTGCTGCCATGACAGTGGGTACAGAGAAAGTGGGGGGGGGAGGG